CACACACACACACACACACACGCGCGCGCGGGAAAAAAATAACAATATAGCGCGAGCAAGAAAAATTTATATTTATATGTGTGTGTGTGCGGCCGATATATATATATATATACATATATATATGCACGCGTGTGTGTATCCATATGTGCCTCTGCATAGATGTGTTCAGATGTTTAAATTCATATATATATATATATATATATATATATATATATATATATAACAGATATATTTTATATCTGAATATAAATAAACTTTTTCAGATATATGCATGCGCACATGTGTATTTATATATAAACATTTATACAGTACACACACATATAATGTAAAAAACGTTTATTTCAGATGCGATTAATTGATTAATTTTTGCCCAGCGCATGTGTGCGTGTGCGTTTGCATTCATGACTGCGTGTGCCTGTTTGTGTGTGCATGAGTGTTTATGTTTGTGAGGGAGTGGGAATATGTGTGTGTGTGCATGTGTGAGTGAGTGGGTGTGCGTGTGTGTGCATGCCTGCCTGCATGTTTGTGTGTTTTTGCATTTGTGTGCGTGCGTGTGTGCGTGCATGTGTTTGTGTGTGTATTTTTGTGTGTGTGTATGTGTGTGTGTGTGTGTACATGCGTGTGCAAGTGTGAGTTAGTGAGTGACTGAGTGGGTGTGCATGTGTGTGTGTGTTTGTGTGAGTGTGTGTGCATGCCTGCCTGCATGTGCGACCGTGTGTGTGTGCATGTGTTTGTGCGTGCGTTTTTGTGTGCGTGTATGAGTGTGCGAGCATGTGTTTGAGTGTTTTTGAATTTGTGTGCGCTCGCGTGTGTGTGTGTATACGTGTGCATGTGTGAGAGTATATGTTTGTGTATTTTTGCATTTGTGTGCATGCGTGTGTGTGTGTGCATGTGTGCGTGCATGTGTTTTTGTGTGTGTATGTGTGTGTGTGTGTACATCCGTGTGCAAGTGTGAGTTAATGAGTGACTGAGTGGGTGTGCATGTGTGTGTGTGTTTGTGTGAGTGTGTGTGTACGAGGATGTGTGTGTGTGGGGGTGTGGGTGTGTGCGTTTTGCATGCACGTGTGTGTGCGTGCAGGTGTATTTGTGTATGTGTGTGTGCATACATGGTTGTGCGAGCGTGCATGTGTGTGTGAGTTAGTGAGTGGGTATATGTGCGTGTGTGTGTGTGTGTGTGTGTGTGTGTGTATGCATGCCTGCATGTGCATGCGTGCCTGCATGTGTGCTAGCATGTGTATGAGTGTGTGTATTTGTGCATGTGTCCATTTTTTTGCGAGTGTGTGTGTGTGTGTGTGTGTGCATGCTCATGTTTGTGCATGTACTTTTTAATGTGCATTTGTTCGTGCCTGTATGTGTGTGTGCGGATGTGCAAGCGTGAGTGTGTTTGTGCTTGCATGTGTGTGATTGTGTATGCATTTGTGTGCATGTGTGCGTGTGTGTGTGTGTGTGTGTGTGTGTGTATACACTTGTGCGAGCAGGTGTGTGCGCATGTATGTGCGTGCGTTTTTACCTGTGTGTGTGTGTGTGCAGTGAACTATGGAGATCTGCCGTGTGTTGTAGACTGTCTGCAGTTTCTGTTCATGAGGCCTCAATTGACACTCAGAGCTAAATGATAATAATAATAACAATAACAGTAATAATAGTAGTGGTGTGGATCATAGAGATCTCCTGAGCGGAGCGTCTCCCGCAGGTAAGCTGTGGTTTCATCATGTCACGGCGCTCTGGAGCTGCAGTAAAAGCCTGTCATTAAACACTGCTCTCTCTGAGAAATGCAGATCTGGGCCCGGAGCCAGACACATTCAGAGCTGTGAACATGAAGACGAGACGCTTTCAGACGCAGATTAACTGCAGCTCAAAGACGGCTTTGTAGTCGCTTCTACACGTCTCCTGCTAAATCTCCTGTAAAGCGCTGTGATCTGGGCTCGGGGTGGGCGAGGTGGAGAGAAACGGCACATCACCACTGTTTGTTCAACCATCTCAGATCTTTGAGGACAGCGAACGCTTCCTACACACACACACACTCACACACACACACACACACACACACACACTCACGTCTCTGAACATGTACAGGTGAAGTCAGAATTGTGCTCACCCTTTATTTTGATGTACGATTCACACTGTATAAAACCATTAGACCTCAATAAACTGCTAACGAGCTGCTTATTAACAGTTGGTGATGTAGAAGTTGGGTTTAGGTTTGAGGCAGGATTAGTGATGCAGAATAAGATCAAACATTATAAGTGCTAATAAACAGTTCATATCTTTATAATAGGCAGGTGATAAGCAGGGGCAGAATCTGCAGACATTTTTAGCAATTTCTGCAGAGATTTTTGTAAAAAATCTGCAGATTTATGCTGAAATCTTAATATAAAATAAAAAATAATAGCGTTTTAACTTTTATTTAATGGTTACAAGTCAAATCCATCTACCGTAGACCCACTCATTTGGTAAACAAAGCAAGACTCTCATATAATATTTCTACTGAAAGACAGAACATGTTACTGTACACACTGTACTGTAAATAAATCACATAAACACTTTTATATTACACAATATTATTACTGAAATTAATTTAAAAACAGAATAAATATGACTTTACACAAGTAAATAAATAGATCTGTGCTAAAATTCTGCAAAAATCTGTGGATTTCTGCGCTTGCAGATTGCGTGAAGGCCTAGTAATGTCAGCAGTTAATGGTGTGGAATGCTGCTTAAGAGTATTTTAGTTTTCATTTTACAACACACTGTTCAATATCAATCCTTGTAGATCTACACTGGAAAACATGCTTTTCTTACTTAGATTTTTTGTCTTGTTTCTAGTCCAAATATCTAAAAATTCCTAAATCAAGAAGCATTTTCTAGACAAGCAAAACATATTGTCTTGTTTTGAGAAATAATATGCCAATAT